ATTAGATATTATTTATAACACTACTTTTATATGTGTGAGTGTATGAATGCACGTGCGCGCACGCGCACGTGGTCATGTGTGTGTGTGTGTGTGTGTGTGTGTGTGTGTGTGTGTGTGTGTGTACAGAATGCAATATTCCTTTTGAAGATCTGTTTTAAACTTCTTATGGAATGCAAAACATTGATGTATGCCAGGTTATTGTACCAATAATTCAAAGGTCGTCTTTCAATAGGAAATCAAAGTGTGTCAATCGGAAGTGTTAACAGTTTAAAGCGGAATATTTTATCATTTGAAAATAAAATAAATTTATTAGATACTGTAATATTTAATAAAATATCACCATATATATCATTTATTACATGTCAGCGGTGTAAGGGTACATTTTCCAAATTGCGTACCCTATTGACTGAACATAATTAAACTATTAAAACCAAAATGTTGATTTTAATGACGTATAGTGGACTTTTTTTAGGCATGCAGAAAGTTAAATTAATTTTAATATTTTTGCATATCTTAGAAATTCCATCATCTTTAAGTTAAAGTTAAATTTGCTTTTAATAATATACATTATTGAAATGATTCTTTTTATTTTTGTTTTTTATATAAGTGAACCGAAATATAAATTAACAAAGTTTTTTCACGAGACTCTAGATGTTCCAAGGAGGAAAAAGAAACAAATTTATTTGCATTCTTCATATATAAAAAAATAAAGGCATAGACTTTACAGAAAATATAATATCTAAACAATCCGACATAACTGATTGATGGAAATAATGTGGATATAACATTATATGATTCTCGATTTTAAGCAGCAGTAACTAGATAGTGTTCTCGTTATTCCTGAAACTCAAGTCTCAAGCGAACGATTGTTTTCTGATGCTGGTAACATTGTTGCAGTCATACGATGTAAGTATCATACAAAGTAATAACGAAGTAATAACGAAATAAAAGATTAATATCAGAAATTGTCGAAAAGTTATACTTTCTACATTTCAATTTAAAATAAAACAATTTTTCAAACTGATTTTTTTTCTTTATAAATCCTTGCATTTAATTGTATGATACATATGGAAATGTTTCTAAACTTAAAAATTTAGGAGCGGACAGAAAAATTTTGTCCCGAATTGAATATCGGGTTCCAATTAGAGTTTCAGGTCTCGAATCAAAAATTTTATCCTGAAATTCGGGTACCCACACATTCCAAATAAATATATGTACAATTTAAAATTCTGCATATAATATAGAATATATTAACCTGGAAAATAATATAACTTATTTGAATTACAACGTACATTATCCGAATTCGAACGAGATTTGATCGATAATATGAGTATAAGCCAAAAGTGAATAAGAGAATTCGATTGAGATAAAAATATTTAGACTGTATATAGATTCTCATTCTATGATGAGAAACTGCTTTCTAAAATCATTGATTTGCTCCCTTTTGACTGAATACCTTATAACATTCATTTTCTTGTAAATTGCATTGTAAATTATCTAATATAATTAAATATAAAAAAAAGTAGCGAAAAATAATTCTGTCATTAAAACTACACAGTGGAAAAATGTTTTGAATTTATCCCAAACGATCCATTCAAATTTTTCATAGAAATATACTTATGAATTTATTTCTTGAAAGAAAGTTATACAAGCTTCTCATGTAAAATAAAATCTATTCTATAGTACTTTCTGCATCAAGCGCGAAATAAATTGTTAAAAAAAAAATTTACTTCCGTTATATGTAATGGAGGAAAACAGGTACATTGAATAATATTTAATATTGTCAATGAAAAAGAAATTATAAATAATTTAACGTTTACTTATATTAAATTTTGCGCAAATTACATAAAAATAAAAAATGTATTAAACTTTTAAAATTTTATGAAAAGTACATTAACTTTCACGTACATGTACACAAATATATTTTCAGTCGCAGATACATTAAATTTAATTTAGTATCATAAAATTGAATTTAATTTATGTAATTCAAAGTATATAAAATTTCATGATACTTTTAAATAGTGTAAGATTAATTTTACAATGTGAATAATCGTTTACACAACATTTTATTCAAAGTAATCCCCTTAAGTAGCTCTATACCATATTTGCCAATATTTGTTAGTGTTTGGAAATATTGAAAATCATTATTCAAGGTCTTTCAGTACTTTTATCGTATTTTCAATCATTTCATATTCGCGCGCAACAGAATCCTTCAAAATTTCTTTAGCGAAAACAGGAAAAAGTAAAGCTTCTAAGTCGCGGAAACATGTATATGGCGGATGCTCTACAGTAACATTGTGCTTGGTAAGTTATTGCTTGACATTTAATGATCGATGTGTACATGCGTACAAAAGAAATCAATCTGTTTAATGTATCCATTTTTCCAAACATTTCTCTCACTACATTTCTAACACGACGAAAGATTTCGACTTACATAAAAAAACAACGATTTTTATTGGATATTGAGGAAGTCATTTGTAAATGCGATAAGAACACTGAAAATATCAGAAAGTGATTTCTAGAAATGCTTTCAAACATTAATAAATTTGTAGCGCTACTCAAGGGAACTACTTTAAAAGAAATGTTATACATATAAGTAAAATTAGTTATTTCTGTGTTGTAAAATTAATTAATATTTTGTGTTACAAATTAGTTTCAAGAAGTTTTTGTATGACCTTTTATTATAGTACAATATATATAACATATATAAATAATTCTTTTATTTGTACAATTTTTATTTTAATATTAAACGAATTATATTTGATTGTAAATAGTATAATAATACAAAAAGGAAATATTGTTAGTAAATCTGGTTTTTAGAGTCATAAATATTCTAAACTGTAAAAAATGATTTTATACATTTTATTATATTAGAATTAGTGTTCCTTTCATTTGATGAGAAAATTCTTGAAGATTATCTCTTGATTATCTGCTTTTTCTAAATATATACAATAAATTAATGTAGGTACAAAGTCAAAGGAAAAATTGATATGATTCTAAATTAAACGCTTTTTAATTTTTATTATAATATATGCTATTATATCTAATATTATATCTTCGATGATTAACATTGATGACTAACATTGAATTGTTATAAATAAAATGATTACAGTAATAAGTGAAAAGTTCATTGTCCTTTCTGATATCATCTCGTTGAGTTGTTCAAATCGCTACAAATTGGAATTTAATATTTTGTATATTATGCGAGTTATTGAATTACTTAATTATAGTTAAAAATATTAACGTGGTTGAAATATAATAAAATACTTTTTTAATCTGAATTGTCTATTTTAACTTAAATGCAGTGTAGAAGGAAATATTATTATCAGATAAAAAAAACATAAAAAAGTGAAGATAATTCACTTTTCTGGAAAAGGTGTATGGTTCGACTTAATTATAGTAATAATGCGCAACAGCTATTTATTTTCCATAAAGAAATACATACTTCATTTGAGCGATAATAGACATCGCATATGCGATACGATCCTTTGTAACACTATATTTCAATGTTGTGACTTATTAATATAATGTCAGTTTTAAATTCTATATTTTTTTATATAAATATTTTATAATATGCCGATTTTTTATCTAAATAATAATTTTTACTTTTTGTCGAATCGAAATGATACTTATAGGAAAGACACCTAAAATCAAGGGCTAAACGATTTTGATCAAATTAGTTTACATTTCTCTTCCTTTTCTTCTCCTCCTCTCTTTTCTCATATTTCTTTCACTTTTGTACATACCTGTTTTAATTATTTTGCAATTGTTTCGTACTTGTAGAATAGAGAACAGTGAAGTAAGATATTGAAGTACCCATCAACTGTAATGAAAATATTTTCTTTTGTTTCAATCTGTAAGAAGCTATTGAAGTTGTGTGGAGAATATCTGTTAAAATAATGGAAGGACAATATAAGATTGAATTGGATAGTCGTGTCAATGATTAAATCATACCTCCATTGTATTTTCTGAACATTGTTTTTTAAGGGTAATGACACTGACGTAATCCTAGTAATATGACTTAAGAACTATCATCTTTGATTTGTACGATAATAGACTTTGAGTCACTTATTTACGAATGAAATATTCAAAATTGATTTTGTTCGGTGTCTGCTCTAAGTCTTTATGTAATTTACTTAAAATGTTATCAGTATAAGGTGATAATTGAATCTTAGTGTACGACAATGTGATAATTGATGTTTAAATTCTTTTCGTGTCTAGCATAAAAAATATTTGTAAGCTATATTGCTATAGGCAAATTTGTAAAAATAGAGAGAGTTGGATAATTCTTTTCGTTGGTTGTTATATTGTACCGGTATGATTTTCGCAAACTCTCACGATCTCCTCGCAGCTTATTAGGTTACGTTTGATAAGCATCGGTCACGAAGAATTATTAAAAGACTTATAACGCAATAACTCTGAAGAATATAAGGACTGCGAAGACTAAAGTTTTAATATATCTACTGATTTTTTGTAATTTTTTTTAGAAGAATTCCCACTTCCGATTTTGATGAAATTAGATCATTTGATTTGTTTTTGCATAAAATAAAAGAATCTGACAGAAAAAAGTTCTGTCCTGCGAAGATATTAAGCGTTAAAGCAACTAGAAATCGAAGGAAATCTGTCACAATTGCGAAATACTGCGATAAAACATGTCACATCTTCATGATCTACATATTCTACACTACATGTGCATATGTTTTACAACTTTTACAGCGATATATTAACGTTTGTTTATTAATATTAAAATCTCCCTTTCATTGTTCAGAGATTTACAATTTTCCACGCGCAGCGCGGTTCGACATAGATTTTTAAGTTTGCATTCAAAGCGAAATTTAATTTAAAAAAAAATCCATTTTTTTGGATTAATCCATCAATATATTTTCAAATAAGGAAAGTTGATTTATAATATTCTTGAGTGTAACACACCAAATGAATATATAGTACCAATTTAACAGTTTTCTCTGTTCTATTCTATTTTTTTAGCTCAGCTAATTTACATTTCAGTCTCAACTTAATTTAATAGAGCTACTTTAATTGATTATCTAAATAATTTTAAAGTAGTCAAAATGTTGAATGATTGTGAATGTTATTATTTTTGTTTAAACAATAATATTCGCGGAGAACAAAAGCTTTATATATGTCTCTTACCGTAGCAGCACTTTCCATAGACGCAACGAATATTCCACCGAGGATCAAATGAAAAGTCTTTGTACCTTTTTGCAGTAGAAATAACATCATTTTTTTTATGTGTAACGGAGCCACGTACCATTCAACATTATATCTACAAAACAATAAATTGATGTAAAATATAATATGAAAAAATAAAAAATTTGTTATAGTATAAATTGTTATGGTATGTTCATTCAAGAATACAGGATGCGTCACCAAAATCCGGACAAATCGAACAATTTCTTTAAACAAAATATTTTTAATGAAAATTTAAATGTTATAAATATACAAAAAATTGAATATTATAAATATACAAAAAATCCTTTTATCTTGCACTTGAGGGATTCCTATATATAGAGCATATTTATTGGATGTATCCTCCATTAGCTCGAATAACGATCTGTATTCTCGATCTGAAGCGTTTGCATGCATGCTTTAAGTAGTGCTGTCCATACCGATGTGAACCTGGCGCTTAACTTTATCAAAAATAAAAATTAATACCGCAGGCCATTTGTATTCGTTTGTACCGATCATAATTTCGTTTGTACCCTAAACAGTTAAACAAAAAGTGAAAAATAAAAAATGGCCAGCGCGCAACTTTAAGACTTTTTAATTTCATTTATGCCATTCGAAAGAGAATCGTTTGTACCCGTTTGTACCTCTCTTACTTTCGCTTGTACTTCAAAGGGTTCGAAGATACAGCGATTTCAAAATTTCGTAAATGTGCCAAGAGAGGAAGACGACCATTTTTAAAGATATCGAAATGAGACCAATGGCATTCGAAAGAGAATCGTTTGTACTGTCCATGCCGACGAATGCTGCCTCAATAACGGTCCTTAATTACGTCACATTGGGATGCCGAGACTTGTTTTATGACCCCTTCAATTATGGTGCATACGTAGTAGTACACAGGATTTAAATCTGGGCTGTTGGGAGACAAGAATTCCTTAGATCAAAACGACATTGTCTGAGAGCCAATTTTGAATTAAGTGACTCGTTGAGTCAATGCATCGTTCTGCTGAAAAACATATGGCCTTCCGGATACCACAGTTTCCATCCACGGCTTCATTTCATCCATCAAAATGCGCAAATACATTTCTTTTGTGAGAGTTTCCCTTTTTTTAAAGAAATTTGATGACATGACGTTACCCTTATTGGACACCTAGCACGTGAACATTGGTCGGAAATTTCATTCTGACAACAATAGGGACATCCTGTAGGCGAATCATCGGTCATTCCTCTGGTTGATTTTGGCATCAATAAAAATTTTTTCATCAGAAAAGAACCTGATTCGTCCCGACACTACGTTTTTCAAAGAAATATAACACAATAGCAGATTGCAGCAAACAACTCGATTTGCCTTGGAAGAGAGTATCTGTCGTATTTTTAATGTATTCGATTTGCATTGAAAGTCCTCTTCGGCAATTCGACGCATTGTTGGCTCGCCTACAATAATCGATGCTAATTTTCATAACGATTGCTCTATTATCCGAAATTAGCGCTTGAGTCCTTTCAATGATTCCAAGGATCCTCACGTTCTTTTGAGTAACTCTTTCTCCCTGACATACTGGAACGTTCTTTCGACTGTTTCAAAGCCGTATATTGTGCCAACGTCATAAATAATCTATCTCGAGTATCCAAAGAACCGAATTATTTCCATTGCTGAGTGTGAAGGCCTTCGATGATCACGGCTCTTCGATTATACTTCGCACTTGGTTTCAATATCGCGGCCATTTTGAGAATACGACTACTAGAAGCATTAATCTTTCTCGGACAACAGCAACTTCTGGCGGAGGCACAATCTAGCGGAAAATTTAAATTTTAAATTGAAATTTGACCGGATTTTGATGACGCACCCTGTAATATTAATTTTGAACACTTTGGTTAACTTAACTTTTTGTTACAAAAATTTATAAAATTACTTAAGTATGAATGTACGATACAAATGTCTCTTACACTGTAGCAAATACGTATTCATTGTGATCTGTAATATCTTGTGCGGTATAATTGGACAAAAACATGTACATATAGAGGATACTTATGTATATAAGTCGTAATACAAGTTGCTCTGTGCTATTATATGTTATGATCTAAAAAATATAAAACAAATGTTATATGTGTATTTTAACCTTTTACAAGAAACTTTGTAATTTTTCTGTAATTCCTGAAGGCAAATTATACTGCTTGCATTACATAATAAATTATTTTCTTTATTGGTTGCGTATATTAGAAAATTGTATTATTTTTGCAACGTACGTATGCGAATAATATATTGTATATAGCTTATGATTATAAAAAAAGATGAATTAAGAATAATCACGTGTTTGAATGATTTTATTTTTAAAGAAAATTAGTTTTCCATACTATTCTAATTAAAGATTTTTTTATTCAACTTCAATATGAAAACTGTATCTTTCATGGAAAGATACGCGCGTTTAATAACAAAAAATAAAACTTACTTGAACAAGAGTGCTGGTTAAGCAAATCATACTAGCCACTATTAAACAGAAGAAAGATCCTTCAAAACTCTTTATGATGACTTGAGAAAACCTTCAGAAATAAAACAAAATTAGTAGAGCACATTATACAGATATTGTAGAATGTGTACTGACTCTATAGCTTTGCGATGAATATCTATCGCACATATTAATCCTTTATAAATTATAACCATTTTTTCTTCATTCATTTTTTCTTCGTGTTGCATATTAATTGCCATTGCCTTCTTAATACGGAAACTATATGAATACATATTTTTTACTGTAAGTTCTTACTTTTTTTTAAATCTGATTGAAAATAAACAAACAATAGATTTCACTTAAAACAAATGATTGTACTGAATTCTACCTTGCAATGCTAAACATTCCACAAATATGCTTGAGGTACGCTATAAACATTGTGCCTGTTGCTACCATTGCAGTTGCCCCTATACACGAGGCTGCGTTTGTATGCAAAAAAATTAAGTAGGAAAAATTTTCTTGATCAACAAAATATTCTGTTGCAGTATAAATCGCTGCAGAGCGTGATCGGGAACTGTTTATAGCCAGAATTATATCAAATATGCGAGGCCAGATTGGCACGAAGAGATAAATAAATATACCACATGCGGCAAATACTAACATTAAATTAGAAAATAAATGATATATAAGTTTCAAGAATTTATTTAAGTAAAATTTATTTAAGTTTTATAAATATATACTCTTATTAATAATTCATTAAAATGTGAGCATATATTTACTATCTTACTCGTAATTATTCTCGTTTGATGTTTTCCTTTACGGCCATACTTTTCTATAATAGTAATTTCGTTTTTATTTTTTATTTCGTTACAAACACGCTGAAGTTGTTCTAGCGAAACTCTCATCTATTACATCAATAATATTTTATGCAGTTTTCGTATAAAATATTTAAAAAATATCTTATTTGAAGATTTATTTATCATGAATATTTGTCTGGAAACTGTATAAT